CCAGCACTTTGGAGGTAAGAGTCAAGCAGATCTCTGCATTTGAGGCCAGCCTGTCTACAGCGCAAGCTCCAGGACAGCTGGGGTAATATCGTGAGCTTCTATCTCTAAATAAACAAATAAATACAAATGAAAAATAAACTTGGAGGAGCACTTAGGAGGACACTTTGGATCAGCAAACAAGCTCAGCTGCTTCTCCAGGTAAATCTCTGGACAGTAAATAGAGCACCCTTGTGAGCCAGTTAGGCAAATGCAGAAAGTCAGGCCCCGCTCAAAATACCAGGCACCCATGGATCCTCCTCCACTCCTGCAGATGCCCTGGCGGTGCACCTGCCAGCATATCCCATCGTCTATGGCACTGGCCTGCACCCAGTATGTAGGCCCTGACCCTCAGGGCTCCAACTTCATGGCTAGTCAACTAGGCCCCGCCCAGGCCCGTAGGTCCCGCCCCACCACCATGTTCTGTCCTTAGTTAAAGGCTGTCTGCCCCCCAACCCCCGTTTCCTTGCTTCCAACCCTACCCCTTGCCGAAAGAGGCCCGGACTGCTACCTAGCTCCAAGTAGGCTAGGCCCCACGCCACCCGTGGGAGAAGGCTAGGCCCCTAGCAGAAGGCTGAACTTCATCCTATTCCATAAACACCTACCCCATGGCACTGTCCCCATCCGTAGCAAAAGGCTGGACACCACCGCCTCAGCCTGCTGGCCCAGTTCCTTAGCTCTGTCCCTCATACTTAGCAGAAGGGTGACCCACCCCATCGCTCTGGTCCCACCCCTAGCAGAAGGCCAGACTCTGCCCTTCTGTATGGCTCCTGCCTGCATCCCAGCCCACAGGCCCCATCCTAAGCAAAAGATTGGACTACTCCCAAGCCCACCAGTGCAGGACCATCCCAGTTCATAGGTCCGCCCCTAACAGAACTTTACTCTGTTCCAGGCAGCAGCCTCCACCCTTAGCAGAGCCTGCACGCTCCACCTTGTCTTCAGGCTCGGTACTCCTCCCCCCCCCCCCCAGGCCCAGCCCAGCACCCAGCAGGGACTTTCTCCAAGAACAAGGCCCCACCTCCTTCTGGTGGTTCCACCCACCCCAGCCCTAGGCTGGACTCCTTCCCCGTACACAGGCTTCGCCCCAGCCAGTAGGCTTTGCCCCGCAAGCATGCTCCGCCCACTCGGTCCATCTTAGGGCGAGACTCCCTCAAGGCCCTCAGGCCCCGCCCCTGCACTAGGCTCGACTCCTGGATTCACAAGCTCCGCTCTACCCCGCCTCCTACAGCACCGCCGCTTCACCGCCCTGTCCTCCCCGCCTGGTGTGCAGAACCTCACCATGAGCTCTTCCGCCGCCAGCCCGCTTTTCGCTCCCGGCGAGGACTGCGGCCCCGCGTGGCGCGCGGCTCCCGCGGCCTATGATGCGTCTGACACGCACCTGCAGATCCTGGGCAAGCCGGTGATGGAGCGTTGGGAGACCCCCTATATGCATGCGCTGGCGGAGGCCGCCGCCTCCAGAGGTACCCTGCCCGAGGAAACTGAGGTTGCAGCTCAGACGTGCAGGAGTTCCCATGCGTGCTGCGTGCCTCAGTTTCCTTGCCTGAGGCATGGGGCTGCCCTGGGGCCACCTTGGCCGGGAAGGGAGGGTGTTGACAAAATGTGGACGCGCGCAAGAGGCGCCTGTTCTGAACTGGAACTTCCTCTCCAGAGAGAAAAGACTTCTCCCCGGGGCTGGATTGGAAGATGGTTCTTCCGACCACAATACTGAGGGGAAATGAGGAACAGAGTGGAGGGGCGTGAGGCTGGTGCTGGTCCGTAGTCTCCCCGGGCTGTGGCTAAGAATAGCTTGGGAAAACTGAGCAGAGACGCAGCTGTCTTGGTGCTGTGGCTGGGAACTGCTGGGTGAGAGAGGATGATGGGTGTTTGGGGCTCCCCAGCCTCAAACAGGGCCGCTGGATAGTGGCAGATGGGCACCTAGTGTCAGGTGATAAATGAATTGGGAGTGGGCTGCGGGTATCGGGCCTTAGAGTCCTTGCTAACCCCACAGAGTAGGGCCATTGCACAAATAGCGTGGGCAGGGCCTCAGAGTCCAGGGATCCCTGGGGCCAGGCCCAAGATCTATGGCCTGTACATAGCCTTCTAGGCCAGCCTGGCAGCTGTCCAGGGCCCACACTATTCTGTTACTTTGTTCTGTCCACCCACATGTTCCTGCTGGCCCAGTTGTCCTTGAAGCATGTGACTGGCAGCCAGGCCCCATCTCTACATCCCCCTCCCCCAGCCAAAGCAGCTGCCATGTGTTTTGTACTCCTAGGGGGTCGTGTCCTGGAAGTGGGCTTTGGGATGGCCATTGCAGCCTCCAGGGTACAGCAGGCCCCCATAGAAGAACACTGGATCATTGAATGCAATGATGGTGTCTTCCAGCGCCTACAAGACTGGGCCCTGAGACAGCCACACAAGGTACTACTTGGGTGGCAGCCTGGGAGTAATCCCCAGAGCTAGGAGATCCTGGGGCCAATGTGACCCACCCAATCTTCTCTCTTGTCCCTTTTCTCCCTAAGGTTGTTCCCTTGAAAGGCCTGTGGGAAGAGGTGGCACCTACACTGCCTGATGGCCATTTTGATGGTGAGGGTCCTCTGTGATCCCAGCAAAGGGGCCAAGCTTCAGGTTCTATGCTGGCCTCTGGGGACCTTCTTGGCAGCCTGTGCCTGCCATTGCACTACCGTACCCTCTTTAGGTTGGTGGGGGTTGTCATCAAGAATGAGGACCTGCGTTTGATTCCCAGGTGTAAGGAGGGAATAGACTCTTACAAGTTGTCCTCTGATTGCCACATGTATGTGCCCCCCCCATCCCCTACCCCAACAAGTGCACCTCCAATGTGCACCGGGGACAGAGCCCTTGGGAATAGACTACATGAATACAGAGAGATCAGCAGGATTGCTAAGGGCAGCTGCAGGCCGGGTCAGATGAGGTGGGGCAAGACTGTGTCTGCCCTCACTGGCAGGCATGTGTTCTCTCTGCAGGGATCCTATATGACACATACCCACTGTCTGAGGAGACCTGGCACACTCACCAGTTCAACTTCATTAAGGTGGGACTGCAGGGCCAGGGGTGGTGGATGGGCGGGACAGTGACATCTATAGACTGGCACCTCTCTTCCCATGTTCCGTCTGCCCACTCTGTCCACTGGCCTCTCTTTTGCAGAAGCACGCTTTCCGCTTGCTGAAGCCTGGGGGCATCCTCACCTACTGCAACCTCACATCCTGGGGGGAACTCCTCAAGTCCAAGTTCACAGACATCACTACCATGTTTGAGGTGCGACTACCTGGTGTGAGTGGCAGTGACCTGTGCATGGGGCTCCACTGCTCACTGGCCTTGGGTCAGAGATCTTGAGTGGCTCCACGGGTATTTTCCATTTTGGAATCAGGAACACCTTTACTAGTTTGAGCCTTCCGTGGCTCCCCAGTGTCTCGGTACAGCCCTGCTCGCCACTCTGTAATCCTGCAGGCATGCTTATCTTAGAGGTTGATGGTCTTTAACTGACTGCCAGGTGTGCCAGGGTCAGCAGGACCATGAGTCTCTTCTCTTGCTTGAGGCTGGCAGTGGGCCTGTGCAAAGATGCTCGCCTGGGACTAGCCTCCCAGGTTACCTCACACCCAGACTCCTATCCCATGTGGTCTGCGGTGACTTGTGCTCCCTCCCTACAGGAGACACAGGTGCCTGCACTGCAAGAGGCAGGTTTCCGGAGAGAAAACATCCGCACCAAGGTAATGGCACTGGTGCCGCCTGTGGACTGCCGTTACTACGCCTTCCCTCAGATGATCACACCCCTGGTCACCAAGCACTGAGCAAATGGCCCAGGGCTGGAGTGAGCCTATGTCCCCTTCAGTGCCTTGATGGCTGGAGTGCAGGCTCCAGCCTCTCAGCTATCCCTGCAGTGTGACACTGCCTGGCCCCATTGTCTTCTCAGAGCTCAGGGGTGAAATAAATGCTAACAAGAACACTGGTGGCTTGGCAGTGAGCTGGAGTGGGCACATATGGTTCAGAACCTGCCTCTGCCTCAGCAGAAGCAGCTAGTCCATCACTGGTCCCCCCTGCCCTGACCAAACATGACCAATAAACCATGCAACCCTCACAGTGTCACCCTACTCCAGATCTCTGGTATCAAATGTACTGATTGGGTCCACATTGTAGCCCACCCCTGCCTGGCCCTTGGAGTGCCTGCCTCAGCCTGTGCCCTATACCCAGCTCCTAGAGACCACTCTGCTGGTCTCTTCCCCAGCACGAAGGCCAGGTTCAGTATTTAGGGCAGGGAGAGGGCAGGCTGTTCCCTCTGCCTGGAGAGGCCCTACCTTAACAGATTCTTGTCTTAAAAACTTGGAGAAGGGCATGGTGTGGCTCATGCCTTTAATCCCAGCCCTTGGGAGGCAGAGGCAGGTGGATCTCTATGGGTTCCAGGCCAGCCTTAGAGCAGCACTCTAAGGCAGCCAAGGCTACACAGAGAAACCCTGTCTCAAAACAAACAAACAAAACATTCTCCTTGGGCTAGGCTGGCAACTGCCCCTCCCATGTCTTGGGTCACCATAGTGCACCACCCCAGTCCATCAGCTGGAAATGATAGATCCCAGACCCATTCCTGTCACACAGTGGGCCCAGGCTGAGAGCTACAGAGTGGAAATCTGCATGACAGACTGAGTCATGAAAAGGGACTCTAGTCTAGGCTCATGTTTACACAACAGGGTGTCAACCTGGGTCTCCTCCTCCCAGGGGCATACAGCTCCTACAGGGCAGCTGGCCAAGGAAGTGTCTTCTGTATTTAAGGGGAGACCTGTTGTCCTCACTGGATCAGAGCTGCACAGCTGGCAGAGGTCACAGTCTGAGCACAAAAGCCAAGGAGACTAAGGGGCCACCAGCCTTCCACTCCCCTCAGCCAGGCCCTCAGGGCCAGGAGTCTGTTCACACAGTAATGTAGGACATGCCCCTCGTGATGCCTGCCTGCTGAGCCACAGTCCACACAGAGCACACACTGAGTTAGGATGGGTTTATTCACATTGGGATTCTGGGGCTATAGTGCTCGGCCTGGTAGCTCTACCTGCGGTACCAGATCTTCAACTTCTGTTCACGCTTGATCTTCCGCTGCAGTTGCAAAATGCCATAGAGTAGTGCCTCGGCCGTGGGTGGGCAGCCTGAGGGACACACACAGCTGAGACCCCACCAGCCCACATGGCGGGCTCTCAGGGTACACTGGGGTTGGCACTGAAGGGACAAGCATCCTTGCTGTGCTGGGCCTCCAGACACCCACTGCATTCCTGAGCTGCATGTGGCTCCACAAAGAAAAGGAGCCAGGTTGTGACTCTAATGACAGCTGTGACTCTGGAACAGTCCCTCACACAAACTGGGCCATTTGGGTCAGGGAGATGGGAAGGAAGCTTGTGCCAAAGGCAGGGAGGCAGCTTGAGATTCCAGGACTCAGAATGCCAAGAGGCCTCAGGAATGCAGCCGGAGCAACCCCCCACACCTCACCACCTGCCCAGTTTAGCTGGCCCCTGCTGGCCAGCAGTCTGCTGACATTCCAGCTGGAGGCAGTGGCAAGTGACCACACAGGTAAGACAGACTAGAAAGACTTGCAGCTCAGCTAAGTCAAGGCCCCCTCCAGGCAGCAGAGGGAAGCCAGCATGCCCAGCACTCCTGGGGAGGTCAGAGCAAAGGACAATGCATGTCACATCTGTTTCTCTGCCCTCTCTCGGGACATAAAGGGACCCTACCAAGCTGTCTCTGCAGCTTATAGACAATGTCTGGTGTGGTGGGGCAGGGTGGCTGGCCTCACCTGGCACATAGATGTCCACTGGCACAATGCGGTCACAGCCTCGTACTACTGAGTAGGAGTAGTGATAGTAGCCACCGCCGTTGGCACAGCTGGGGAGAGGGGTGAGGCAGTTCAGACACACATCCACCCACTCCACCCCACATCCCTCACCCTGGCCCTGGGACAGGAGAAAATGCAAGGGCTAGAACCTACATTACAGATAAGAACTGGGTGGGATAAAAGGGGCTTCCAGAACCTTCCGTGGAAGATGTGGGATGCAAGTGGCCTGACAAGCACATGGAAAAGTACCCTCAACCAATGCATTTCTGCTGATGGATCTGAGGTGGGACTGTGGGATCTAAGATGGCCTCACAAAAGTCTGGGATTCACTATACTGCAGATACCCTTGAGGGTAACAGGTGTGTGCCACCATACCAGGCTTACTTGGCACTGGGGATGGAACCTGTGTTCCTACATGTTGGGTGAACCTCTAACCCAACCCTGGCCCTCTTTTACTTTTTATCTTTTGAAGTAGGATCTCACTATGTAGTTCAAGCTGGCCTTGAACTCACAGAGTACTGACTGCCTCTGTGCTGGCTACCATACCCTGTTACTTTCCTTTGTAGAATTAGATTCTATGGAGCTACTGTGGAAGAAAACAGATTCCAAGGGGGATCCTCCCCAGCCTCCACTACAACAAAGAAAACTTAGCAGCAGGGCTGGTAGAGTGCTTGCCTGGTGGATACAAGGTCCTGGGCTCCATGCCCATTCGTATTACACACTGGGCAAGTCACAGTTGCTGAAGGAACTAAAGAGTGGCAGAGGGGAAGACAGAGAGGGAAGGGGCTCTGGAGCTGCCTGGAGCACTTCAAGTCTACAGAGACAAGCTAGGAGGAATGTCACAGCTGGGGACACTGGGGTGGGTCCTACTCCCCCAGGCAGCCTAATACACACTCACCTCCCCATGGACACCACATATCGAGGTTCAGGCATCTGGTCATACACCTACAAGACACTCAGGTCAGGTGATGCAGGTGGCTGGGTAGTGGGAGGAACCAAGGAGATCAGATATACCTTGCGGAGTGCAGGTGCCATCTTGTTGGTAAGCGTGCCAGCTACAATCATCACATCGGCTTGACGTGGGCTGGCACGGAACACCACACCAAAGCGGTCCATGTCGTAGCGTGGAGCAGCCATGTGCATCATCTCCACAGCACAGCACGCCAGGCCGAAGGTCATAGGCCACAAAGAGCTCTGTGAGGGAAGGGACAGGCAGTTGTGTGTCCAGGCACTGTTCCTCCACAAGTGAGCATGCTGCATCTGAAGGCAGCTCAACATATCTTCCAACTTGTGGGTACAGTGACACTGAATGCTTGGCAGCCACATGAGGCTACCTGCTGCTCTGGCTACCAGCAATATCACCTCTTGGCATCCCTAGACTGGCCCAACTGTCCCTTAGGAATCACCTAGGACTGGCTGGCTGTCCTCAGTGTCCTCAGTACACTAGTGCTTAAGCTCCTCATGGATCCAGCTTGCCTTGCACTTGCACCTGAGACCCAGCAGTGGCCCTGGGGCCTGGCAGATGTGAGTGTGCAGTTGGTGTCTGGGCTGAAAGCTGTAGTGAGATAGTCCATCTGTGGCACTGACCACGCCCATTGGGGGTGGAGCCATGGGCGGAGTGACCTGTGGAAGGAGGTCTGAGGGGAGCCAAGAAAGGCTCTCTTTCTGGCGTGACTCAGACAGGAGAGGATCGGGTTGAATTTCCTGGTGTTCATCTGTCTAGGTTGTAAGTTATTTCTCCCTGAATAAACATCTATTCGGCCTATTTGTTTATCCTGATCCTTATTTACCACGATATCTGGTGTCAGAAGCGGATTTACCTGGGTTTCACGCAGGAGGCAGAAGCCGCCCCCTTTCCCTAACCTTGGAATTTTGGGATAATAGTCATCGTCTTTGGGTTGGTTTTAGTTATTTGGGATTGGGTGATGCTTACACTCAGGTTTATCTTTTAGACAGGAATAGGGAATGGTTGGGAAAGGTATGGTTTAGATGGGATATAGGTAGATTAGCCTATTTTCTTGAGAATTTGAGTAAGAATGAAATAGTATTTTACAGCTTACATTGTAGTGTATTCTTATGTGGTAAGCTATGTAAAATTAAGTTTATATTTTGTTATATTGTGTTAAATCTTTCCACTTACAATGTTTTATGCACATTATTTTTTACCATATTCTATGTATGTATACTTTTCTTGTATTCAAGACATTTTGTATATTGATACAATTTGGGATATTTATCTTGCTGCCCTTTATAGTTCTACCTCTTGTCTTGACACTTATACTCTACCTCTCTTTTAGGGATTTACATGTATGTATATGTAAATAGTTATATTGTTTAAGTATTTGTTCCTGCTTTACTCAGGGAAGTTTTAATCAGTCTTTTTAGCTAAGTTCCCGAGTATTACAGATTATCTTCACTCACATTTCCTGTACCTATGAGATTAGTCAGATATAGGTGCTTAATCTTCAATCACTTCATAGACATGCAGAACATGGTATTTAAATGTTTTAATATTAGTACTCCATTGACATAAGACACTGTTGCTCCTGACAGCACCGTGCACTTTCCCGAAAATATGTTGGACACTGTTGTTGCTCCTGATGGAGTTCAATCTCGCCTCAGCTAATGGCCTGTTGGGCAAAGAACTGCCCCCACCTTGACCACTGATTTGGACATGCAGTCCTATGTGCTTACAGGAGACAAATATAGAAGACTGCTTGACCTTGCCAAGTCAGGGTAAGACAGCCATTCTACCTCCCTGCTGTTGTTGTGGTCTGTCAAGTTCTCTTGGCCTTAGCCAAATCTGGGTGTACCAACGTGGCTGTGAGACCTAGGGTGACTGTTCAGGTGGCTTGCTGTTTCTGTCCTTGCTGCACCTTTTGGAAGTTGTCCATCCGCATTTCCTGTCTACTCTAGTATTGTTAATTTCCTTCTCAGGTTTGGATGAGGTTGAAGATTAAACTATCACAACTATTATTCTCTCTTCCTAGTTAGATATATTAGGTACTAGACTTACGTTTTCCAGCTTAGGACAACTCTATTGTAAACTCCATTATGCCCTCACCCTAGGACTAGATATGTAGATCATTTTGTTCTCAATTTTCCTTTTCTTAGAGCACACTTGTTATTCGCTGTTTTGTATATAGTTTTGTATTAAGCCTAAATCTTTTCTTTAGACTAAAAGGGGAATTGTAGTGAGATAGTCCGTCTGTGGCACTGACCACGCCCATTGGGGGTGGAGCCATGGGCGGAGTGACCTGTGGAAGGAGGTCGGAGGGGGCCAGGAAAGGCGCTCTCTTTCTGGCATGACTCGGACAGGAGAGGATCGGGTTGAATTTCCTGGTGTTCATCTGTCTAGGTTGTAAGTTATTTCTCCCTGAATAAACATCTATTCGGCCTATTTGTTTATCCTGATCCTTATTTATCGTGATAGAAAGTGTCCCCCTTCAACAGACTGCTGGCTACTCCCGCCTGCTGTGTTATCCTTGGGCCCCTCCAGTGGACACCTTGTCCTGGCAGCTTCGAGATCTAGCAGGGTACCACCAGAGCCCTAAGCACAGCACAGGAGAACAAGGCAGGCCCAGGGACAAGCCAGTCATTGGGTAATTGTCAGACACAGGCTGTCACATCCAGGCACGGGAACCAAGCACAGCTGCCCACAGCAAGTGTGAGCTAGACACCAGAATGCACACGCGAGAGGAACACATGGTGTAGGGACTACTGGAGATAGATATGGAGAGAGAGGCCATACATGAGCTTCGCTGAAGACCTATGGCTTTCTAGACTTTAAGAGGCATTTTTTTTTCCCGAGACTGGGTTTCTCTGTATTGTTTTGGAACTTGTCCTGGAACTAGCTCTGTATACCAGACTGGCCTCGAACTCACAGAGATCCACCTGCCTCTGCCTCCCAAGTGCTGGGATTAAAGGCATGCGCCACCAAAAACACCTGGCTTAAAAGCATTTTTTTTCCAGGTAATTTTTAAAAAAGATTTATTTGCTTATTTATTATATATACAGAGTTCTGCCTGCGTGTATCCCTGCAGGTGAGAAGTGCACACCAGATCTCATTACAGATGGATGAGAGCCACCATGTGGGTGCTGGGAACTGAACAAAGGGCCTCTGGAAGAGCAGCCAGTTCCCTTAACCTCTGAGCCATCTTTCCAGCCCTTAAAAGACATTTTTTAAGCCAGGAATAGTGGCTGCTTCTATCCTGGGACTCAGGAGGCAGAGGCAGAGGAAGATAAATCTCTGTTTGAGGCCAGACTGGTCTACACAGTAAGTTCTAGGATAGCCAGGGCTACGTAAAGACCCTGTCTCAAGGAAAGCAACAAATAAATAAATAAAAAGACATTTTTATCAGCTTACTCATTGAGCTGTCTCAATGAGTAAAGGCACTGCCACCAAGCCTAACAACCTGAGTTTGATCCCTGGGACTCACATGGTAAAAAGAGGGGACCAACTCCTGCAAGTTGTCCTCTGGCCTCCACACACACATTATGGTACATAAACATGTATATGCACATAAAAATAGATAAATAAATGTAATGAAAAAGAATTTAAGATTGATATTAAAAAAGATACACATAGCTGAGCCATGGTGGCGAATTCCCTTAATCCAAGAACTCAAGAGGCAGAGGCAGGAGGATCTCTGTGAGTTCAAGGCCAGCCTGGTCTACAGAGCAAGCTCCAGGACATCCAGGGCTACAAAGGGAAACCCTGTCTTAAAAAAAAAAAAAAAGAAAAAGAGAGAGACAGACACACACACACAGGAGAACTGCTAAAGGGCCTAGTCATTCTGAGCGGTGGCTGGAGGGGCCTTGGGAAGGAGCCCTGAGGATACTGCAGGTCTGACAGGAGGGAGGCTTACCCGGCGCGCCCAGTTGATGAGGTCATCCAGCTTGGCAACCACATACTCGGCCCGGTTTCTGGGTAGATGGGAAGGCTTGGGGACCACAGCTCCAGCTCCAGCCTTGGGCACAACAGACTGTGTGCTAAGAACAGAGTATGTGGGCATCAGGAAGAGTTAGCCAAGTGACCCCAGTGCCCTGCCTGGGAACCCAGCCAGACCAGCTTCCCAGTGAGGAGGGTCACACTGGGTCCCTGGACCTGGTCAATGGAGAAAGGAATGGTGGCAACACTTGGGAAGCAAGAACAGAGGCCAGAGCCACAGGGTGGGGTGGGGTGCAGGCCCTAGAACATAGCACTAGTGCCTCTTCCCAAAGCCTGGATTACCTACCTGCTTGGGCCCTCGGTGGCCACACTCTGATGGACTCTGCATACCTGGGCCACCGTGTCTATGCTGGAGCTGCAAACAGGGACAAAAGTGAGAGGCCACACAGTCAGCTGTGGCTCCCTGCCCGCCCAGGGTGCCCTGGTCATCTGCGGGTTGCCCTGCTCTTTCCCAGACATAAGCAGAGTCTTTTACTTCTGAGAACACCAGCTGCTCAACAGGTTGTGAAACGTCTGAGCCAGAACAGTCCTGAGGTGCTGTGCTTGCAGCCCAAGGGAACAGCTGGTAACTCCCCTGGGCTGGTGACCTTCACTGCCCTGCGCAAGGCATTCAGCCTATGGAGGTCCAGGTGGAGGGCTCACAGAACACCTTGTTGGGACAGGCAATGTGTGGGCTATGAGGGCTGTCAGCCTGTGGACAGAGCTGTCCTGCCTTTGTTATCATCCTCTCAGACAGTTCCCATATACCACGTGAGGACGACAAGCCTCACTGAATCTTCTGGGCAACCTTCACCCAGCAATCCCTTCCCTGGATACTGCTGAGGGACCCTCCTGGCTCTAAGACCTTTGATTTGTGACAGACAGGACACACACTCACCGGAGGCCCAGGATCCGCACACAGAGCAGGCCAGGAGCTAGAGAGAAAAGCACAGTAGTTGAGTGTCCAGTGTGGGCCCTGGCTCTTCCCCGGAGGGCTCCAGCATAGCCTCCCTCTGACCCTTGCTTCAGACTCCACACCAAGGTCTCCTTCCCTGTAAGTCATCTCACTTCACCTCTCATGCCTTGCTGCACCCATGCCAGGACCCCAGTCAGCTGATCCTGAATAACCTATCCTATATCTGCACACAGCAGAATGCAACCCAGGGGCAGGATGGAGTGGTGCCCTAAAAAGTCACGTGTAGGCACCCTCACCCCAGCACCTCAGAATGGGACTGTTTGCATGAGCCTCTCGCAATGAGGTCACTAAGCTGTACCCCAAGGTAGCAGGGCAGATGTGAACCAGGTGTGACAATGTGCAAATGACGCCTGAGACACGGGGATTTCATGTCCTAGAACAGCTGTGCTTACACACTGGAAAACCCAAACACCATCAGATACAAATAAACAAAAAACAACCAAGAGTAGGGAGGGATAGGTAGAGATTAATACAAGAATAACCTCATGAGGGTACAGGGGAGATCTTATGAAACCCCAGCCCTGTGACAGCCTGATCTTAGACTCCAGCTTCCAGGAATATAGGGTAAATTTCTGTCATCTGGGGCTGGATGTGGAGGTGCACACCTTTAATCCCAGCACTGAGGAAGCACAAGATGGAACTCTGTGAGTTTGGAGCCAGCCTGGTGCACATAGCAAGTTCCAGTAAGCCAGGACTAAGAAGTGAGACCCTGTCTTTGAGGGAAAAAGAGGGAGGAGGCCTCACCTGAGACAGTCCTGTGTGACAGAAAGGTGGGACCGAGAGAGACCCTCCCACCATGATTTGGGAAACACCCTGCCTCCAAGACCCAGGCTGGGATTGACAGCTGTTTACAGCACTTTCCATGCTATCTATTCCTCTTGCCTCAGCCCTCCTCACTCTGACTTCAACCTTGCTCAGGGATACTGCTTCCCCTGGTCACAACTGTGGCCTACTGCTTAGACCAAAGGGTCTAGACTCTCTGTCTGAGGGCCACAATACCATCAGGTTTTGGCCTGGTGGTGGTAGCACATGCCTTTAATCCCAGCGCTTGTGAGGCAGAGGCAGGTGGATTTCAGTGACTTCAAGAACATCTTGGTCTACAGAGAGAGTTCCAGGACAGCCAGGACTGTTACACAGAGAAACCCTGTCTCCAAAAAAAAAAAAAAAAAAAATCAAAGGAAGGAAGAAAGAACGAAAGAAAATAAAGCTTTGAATATCCTCACAGCAAAGTAAATGACTTACTAAGTGGTTAGAGTGCCAGCATCAGGCTTTGGTTTTAATTGCCACAGGGTCTCTCTATGTTACCCAGGCTAGCTCTAAACTCTGACCTCAGGAGAGCCTTCTGAGCAGCAAGGACTGCATGCAGGCACCACTAAGCCTGGCTTGGATCAGACTTTTGTGCTGCTGTGCTGGGAACCAAACATGCAGCCTTGAGCATTCTCAGTGAGTGCTTCAATACTGGGCTATATCCCCAGGCCTCCACCTCACAAGCTAGACCAGGCTCACCTACAACTCACAGGGATCCCAAGTGTCCTTTTGAAGCAGAGTCTCAGTGTCTAGCCCAGACTGGGTTAATTAGCTTTCTGCCTCAGCCTTCCCAGTATTGGAATCAGAGCTGTACCTCACAATATTCTACCAAAAATATCCTTTTTGCTGCCCCTCGGGTGTTAATGAAAATTTGCTTCTCCTTCAAATCCGACTGTGGGTAGCAAAACAAAGCACAGCAATTGGTAATAGTATTTATTCACTGTTCACTGGCAAATGCACAGTGGTCCTGAGAGAATTCAGGAAGCAACAGTCAACACCACAAACCCATGCTCTCCATCCTTCACAGTGTCCACATCACAACTGGGCCTCCCAGCATGAGACTTAGGCAGGGGCACCATGAGTCTGATAAAACCTAGGCCGCACAGGAAGACCTCATCTTAAAGAAAAAACAAAACCACCAGGCACAGGTGATGCACTCAGGAGGCAAAGGCAAGAGGAGCTCTGTAAATTCAAGGCCAGCTTAGTCTGTAGCGTGAGAACCAGGACTGTTTTACAGAGAAATCCTGCCTCCCAAAAACAAAAGGCAGAAAAGAAAAAGAAAGGAGGAGGAGGAAAAAACAAAAACAAACAAACACAAAACCAAGCAGAAACACACCCAATTCTATCATCCTAGCACTTGTGGGGTAGTGGAGGCGGGAAGATCAAGAGTTCAAGGTCAGCCTCCCATACATGAGATCCTGTCTCAAAAACTAACAAAAAGAGGCACTGGGGTTGGAGTTCCGTTGGTGGAGTCCTTGCTTAGCATGCACTAAACTTTTAAGTTCCCTCCTTAGTGCTGCATAAATGGACATGATGGTGCACGCCTGTCATCCCGGCCCTCAAGAGGTAAAGGCTTCAAGTTCATCCTCAGTGTACATAGTGAGTTTGAGGCCAACCTCAATAAAACCTGGATGGTGTTAAACCCGACTTCCTGAGATCTCCCGTTCCTAGTGTGAAAAGTGCCACCATCTAGGAGATGAGACCGTCTGATGAGGTTCTTATCAACGGTCGCTCAGTATGCCAGATTGCATTCGCGTTTAATCCCTGTATATAAAGAGGAAAATACCAAGGCTTCAACGGGGAAACCCAGACACTTGCAATGCTAGAGGCCCTGGCTGTCCAGGGCTGTGTTGGAGTGTCCTGGGTCCCCTCCCTGTCCCGCTCTCTGTTTCAGGGACATCAGCCGGGCTCCTGACGTTGGTAGACATACAGGCTTCTGTGTCCCGGACTACAATCTGCTGCCATAACAGGAGGCGGTTCATCACTCACAGAAAGGCATGAACTAGATCCAAACGCACTTCGGCCCAATCTCAGACCCCGACATTATTTGAGTCTGAGATCTAATGTATATGTCCCTGAGGTTCCAGCGTCTCTCATTCCGGCGCTTGAGCCCTAAGGTACCCGCAGCCGCAGCTCACAGCCCAAGATTACCCCCTATCCCGAGTTCACAGTCCACTCACCCGCCAGCACCGCCATCTTGGTCTCGGCCTTCAGACAACCTCTGTGATCCGTCCTCCAAAGCGCTCCGTTTCTGGTCCTTCGTCCAAATAGGCACCAGCGGAAACCGGAGGAGGGAAGCGGAATCGTTCCGAAGCGCTTACTGCCTGTGGTCGCGCCCGTGCAGTGTGCGCTCCCAGCCTCCAGTGATGAAAAAGGAACAGCAACAAAAAAAAGCCTCGATTTTTTTTCAATCTTTGATTTGAAATAAAAAAGAGAAACAAGCGTCCCTGGGTGGGCTCGAACCACCAACCTTTCGGTTAACAGCCGAACGCGCTAACCGATTGCGCCACAGAGACGGTATTGCATTGTTTGTTCCGATATTGTCCTACGAGGCTCTAAGCACGGGCTGTGAAGTGCGCTTGCGCACACTAGCTCCAGACGGGGCGGAGTCCGGGCGGGAGCAACGATTTGACGTGTGGCCGAAATAGCTCAGTTGGGAGAGCGTTAGACTGAAGATCTAAAGGTCCCTGGTTCGATCCCGGGTTTCGGCAAGTGCTTTTTGCCTCATTGAATGAATGTATCTTCTTGTTAGCTTCGTTTTGACCCACAACGCTAAATTCTTCCAGTCCGATGTCTAATTTTTTAATTATTTTTAGATGTTAGCGATCAATATAATATTCTTTAAATTGGTAGGGCTAAAGCCATTACTGACTCTGAAATCTAAAATATCAGGGTGAGGTTATACACCTGTCATTCCAACACGCCAGAGAATCAGGAAGATAGGTTCGAGGTCAAGGCCTTCCTCTCAAAAAGCCAATAATGATAATGGTAATGATAATAATATTAACATTTTTTTTTAATGGCTCAGCAAGCGGTTAAAAGCGCTGGCTCCTTTTTTGAAAGGACTGGTGAGTCAATTCCCAGCATCCACATGGTAGCTAGTAACAATTTAGAACTCCAGTTCTCTGATACCTTTTCTGACCCCTTCAGGCATGCTAGCAGCCAAAACATCCACACACATAAAATAATAATGATAAGGCCGGGCGGTAGTGGGACACGCTTTTAATCTCAGCACTCAGGAGACAGAGACAGGCAGATCTCTGTGATTCTAAAGCCATGCTGTCTCTACAGAGCTAATTCCAGGGCTACACAGAGAAACACTGTCTCAAAAAATCCAAAAGTAAATAATACATATATAATTCAAATAATATTTAATAAATATATAATTTAAAAAATAATAAAGTAAAATGAATCAGATCTAGGAAAAAAGTTCAGTGAGCAGAGCACCTTCACTATCATGCAGAAGGTCCTGGCTTCCATCCCTGGCACTCCATAAACTGGGCAGAGTGTGGCACATCTGTGGTTCAGCAGTGGGGAGATTGCTACACAGCAATTTCAAGGTTAGCCTGGTCTACATGAGACCTTGTCTCAAAAAGTAATAAATAGGGGCTGGCACAGTGGTTTAGTGGATAAAAGCACTTTGATTTGCAGCCAAGCCGGACTACTTGAGCTAGATCTCTGGATTCCACAAGGTGGCAGGAGAGAACTGATTCCTGAAAGTTGTCCTTCATCTGAGTACCACTGGCTTGTGCCTTGTGTTAACATACACACACTACACATAACCAAACATAAATAAATCTTAACACAAAACTGAAATTAACAGGAGAGTGTGCCATGTGCACACAATTCTATCCAGTTCACAAACAGCAAAACCAAAATTCCACACTGGGCTCAAACTCTAGAGATGGCAGGCAGAAAGAAGAGTGTGTGTGTGTGTGTGTGTGTGTGTGTGTGTGTGTGTGTGTGTGTGTGTTCAAGGCTAGGTATGGCCAGGAGAGCGAGCTATGGCCTAAAGAAATCTTTAGGTGTTCTTGTCCACCTGCTTTTGAGTCTGAGCTTCACTTTTTAGCCCAGACTGGCATTCATGGCAATCCTCCAGCCTCAACCCTTATCATTCCTCAACCCTACTACCATGCCCACCAATGATTTTTAGATTTACAGAAAATTTACAAATATAGTTCAGAAGTGGCCACAGCCAGATAAGTCATATTACATTTTAAATATTGCATTGAGCATCGGAGCTCAAGGCATCATGTATACTAGTCAGGTGCTCTGTCTGAGTCACACCCAAACCCCTCACCTTCTATGTGAAAGCTGCTTGTGTCCTGATAAGGCATGACTCAGCTGGAGGTTGTCTCTACTAGGGTCCCCTCACTTTCTCCCTGGTGTCCTTGCAATTATGGCTCCACAAAGGGGATGGAAACAGCATCCACAGCCCTGTATGACTATAATCTGAGGGAGACTTTTGCAGTGCTGGGGTTAGATGGGGTCATGGGGCACCCAACATGGCATTAGTGGATGGCTTCTAAGAGGAAGACCCAAGCTGTATATGGTGGCACCCAACTGGGATCCTGACATTTGAAAGGCTGAGGGAAGCAGATCTCTGTGAGTTTGAGACCAGCTTGGTGTACATAGCAAGTTCCAGACAGCCAGGGCTGCCTCAAAAGAAAGGGAGAGTGACTAGGGCAGGATTCCTGGGAATTCAAGACCACCTTGTGCAACCTAGTGTTTGAGCAAATGTGGAATTGCAGTGAGATTCCCACTGAATGGAGGGAGGGGAAGCCAGATAGTGCAGTGGATAGAGATACTTGCCACCAAGCGTAAGTCCCAACCCTAGATCCCACATCCAGGAATAACTGACTTCTTTGAGGTGTCCTCTGTCTCCACACACACTCTCTCTCAAGCATAAGTTCCCACACATGTACCCACTCCTCCCACACCCACTCATCTCCCCCCCCACAGTGAATGCAGAATGGGATGTGACTTGGTGGCAAGGCATGCACAGGACATTGGTTCATCCTCATCAATGCAAGTCTCCAGTCTTATGATGTATGTGTTACATGCCTGGCCTCTCATCAGCTGCCCCCTCTTGATCAAAGTGCTCCTGTCACCAGGCTCTGGGTATTTTCCTGTAGCAATGGTTGGTAAAGGCTTGGTCAGTGACACCTGGCAGATAGCCAGGGGTCAGGGGTCAGGGTGGTGCTCAGGAACCCAAAGTTTCAAAGCTATCACCAAAACAGATCAGGAGGGAATGAAGAATGAACAGCAAGGGGGTGGTGGTAGTACTCTGCTGGAGCCAAGGGAGATTTGAGTCTTCATCATGTAGGGTTTGGGTGTCAGGGGTGGGGAGTGTGGGGGTGGGGGGTATGTGTTGGTTCCTGAGGTATGGGAGGTGGAAAAACACCAGTAGATGGCACCAGAGAGCCTAGGGATGGGATTGGAGGATACCAACCTGCAGGAGAGGCCTCAGGACCACCCCACCACAGAGGGGACAGAATCAGGGTTTCCTGACAATAGGCTGGCCAGGGATGCTGCCCATCACTCTATCGGGCCACAGAGGGGACAGAATCAGGGTTTCCTGACAATAGGCTGGCCAGGGATGCTGCCCATCACTCTATCGGGCCACAGAGGGGACAGAATCAGGGTTTCCTGACAATAGGCTGGCCAGGGATGCTGCCCATCACTCTATCGGGCCACAGAGGGGACAGAATCAGGGTTTCCTGACAATAGGCTGGCCAGGGATGCTGCCCATCACTCTGTCGGGCCTACGGTGCCCTGAAAATGGCCTATCTGGCGTCAGAAGGTAGAAGGCCCTGAGCACAGGGCACTTGGGTGTCATGGAGGATGTGGGGGCACTGACAAGGCAGGGGTGAGTGAGTCATATCTGGTCTTTCTGTCCTTCCAAAGCGCCAGGTCATCACGGACATGGGGGCCCTTGCAGTTCTGAAAGGCCCCTTCCCCGCCACCAATGCTGCACGTGGGTCAGGGCAGGGCCCCTTCCCAAAGCAAACAGGAAGCAAAGTCCCCACCAGCAGGTCTCTTTTGGCCATTAGGCCCACAGGCCCCAGAAGCAGCACTGATGGCTCAATCTAGTGTCCCTTCCTTGGGGAGTCCCCATGGGCAGCAGGACAAGCTGACACACCTCTGACCTGCCTCCTCCCCTCAGACTTCAAAAGATGGGAGGGAATTGTCTGAGGCTTGAGGTCTACAGGCAATACTGCCTTACTGCCTTGCTGTACCTGTCCTGGACAGGCCACTTGGTCTCCAGGGAACCCGTCCTGTACCACCCTGGCAGCATTGTGTTGTCAGATGCAGGTGTCTAGGCTCACTCATTCCCATTGAACTCATGTCCCCATTCTATTCTGGGGTGGCCACAGTGTGGAGCACACCTGAGTCCCATAGCCAGGAACCAAAAGACTGGCTGAGCATTCCTGTGGGGTTGTGTGGCTGCCGAGCACAGTCCAGCTCAGACCTGCTTGTTGTTGGCAATGGCTGTGTCCATCAAGGACACAGCCACCTTGAGGCCATAGTATTCAGTGTGGCGGCTGATGCAGGAGGCTGCCTTTTCTTCCCGTCATACCCACCCCCCCCAGCCCGGAAGTGGTGGGGTGTGGCCGTGCCAGAAACTAGTGATAACTGTCTCAGTACATTACCAAGGCTGTGTGGGAAGGACGCCGAGTGCAACTGGCTTGCCTGTCCTTGCAGAAACACACAGAGGCCACTGAGCAAACGTGTCCCCACCTCCTGCTCACCACACAGAAAAGATTCCAGAAACCACAGAGGAAACACACAAAACAATGCCAGGGAAACATATGTCAATGCTCTGGGAGCTATGTGTTCATATCAGTCTTTTTGGAAACTTCTGTAGGGGTGGCATACTAAGTAACATGGGACCCAAGCACACATGCCAGCCACACAGTAACCATGACACATGTACATTCAAACTCATTTATAAATGAAATAATAATAAAAAACAAACAAAAAATCAAACATACACGCGCATACACGCACAGAAACTTCCAGAAAATGGCTGTCCATAGCTGCCAGCAGGCTTCTGGTGTGTCAATGACATTTGATCTCACAGACATAATACTGATGACACAGGGCCCACAGTTCAAAGTAAACACACTCCTGGGCCTCTTGCTTCTAGTACATTCTCACAGGGCCCTCTGGCAGGCGATGGAAGCCTCACTGGCTGGGTGGCAGCATCAGCGACGGCGACGGTTCCTCTCCTCCAGGAGTTCATTGTCAAAGATTTCCTTTTCCCTTTAGGAAACAAGAGATGGCCGTGAGACACCAGGGCATCCACAATCTTGGAACAAGTGGTATGATGCATGCTAGGCTGGTACATTTATGCATTAAAGAAAAGAAAGATGGGCCAGGTGGTGGTGGCACATGCCTCTAATCCCAGCGCTCAGGAAGTAGAGACAGGTGGATTCTGTAAGTTCAATACCAGCCTGGTTTTGGACAGACTCCAAAACCACAGAGAAACCATCTTGAAAAACCACAATAAATAAGCAAACAAACCAGGTGGTCTATAGACAAGTTCCCGGACAGTCAGCATTACACAGATAAACCGTATCTCAAAAAACCAAACCAAAAGCAATGACAAAAAAACACAAAACTCCACAATTCTCCCACATGAGCTTGGGATGGAACCCAGGACTTCATATAGGCTAGAGGAGAAGCAGCCCTAGGCTGACTTTCTCTGCCTGTCCACACTTCCTCAATGGTTGGGACATTTTGCTGCTTTTGCCAAGGACCTACATTCAGTTCCCAGCACTCACACGGTGGCTCACAAACATCCATAACGCCAGTCCCAAGGGATCCAATGCCCTCTTCTGACATCTGCAGGCACCAGGCACACACACATGCATGTAGGCAAAGACTCATGTTCATAAAACAGACACATATAAAACAGCGTTATTTTAGGCATGATTGGGCAGTCAGCCTTGTAGGAACAAAGACCTGGATTCCTCTCAAGAGCAATATCAGCAGACAGCAGCAGGCGGGCCTTGCTCACCAAGTGCACACACGCATGCGCATATCCACACGCTCACAATATGGAGGCCAGAAGTTGACATTAGGCATTATCCCTCCATCTCCACTTTGATTTTGGAGACAAGTCTCCCACTGAACCTGGTCCTTGCTGATTAGGCTGCTGGCCTTCAGTCCAGAGTGTCCTCTTGTCTCCACCCTATCAGGGCTGGAACTATCAGCACACACAACCATTCCCAGATTTTTACATGGGCACTGGGCAACACTTCACCGACTGAATGAGACATCCTCTAGCCTAGGTAGCCCAGACTGGCCTGGACCTCAGGCTCCTCCTCACCTCCCAACACTGGGATGAGAACAAGTATGGATCCTTAACTGCTGGACATTGGGGACTGGATGCAGCCTTGAGAGCTGGTCCCAAGGCCTTTGCTGCAATGTCAACTTGGTGTCCAAATTTTGAAAATGACAGGAGCTATGCTCCCTGGGCAGGTAGGCTGGTGGGAGCCTCCATCTAACCTGGCTGCTCTGGCACTGAAAAGCCCTGTGTCACTGGCCCACTACCTGCCTGGGGAAGCTGACTTATCATTAGGGGCAATGTGGTCCAACATGCTAGTGCCTGGGTTATGGCTCAGGATGTAGAGACCCCATTGCAGCAGCGGCATCCTCTGCCTGTCACTTCCCTGCCCTGCCTGGCTCACATTGAGGTCTGGCAGCCTGCCCAGAGGTGGATTAGAGGCTCTGAGGCCACACATCTCAGGAGTGTAGCAGGCAGACAGGAGAGTTATCTTCATCCTGCTGCATTGCTGATGGCTATATTGCCTCTTAATCTTGCTGTGGGCCCATCACCAGCCACAATCACACCAGCCGCACCAGAGCAGGTCAGGCAAAGACCACACTGCCCGACACAAGGAGATTACAGGGGTCTCGGGCAGCACACGCGACCACAAGGGAGGCTGCTGCCTAGCCCCAGGATCCTGGCTTGCATCCAGCCGAGCACAGAGGAACAGCCTGCAGACCTGGGCCTCCATCCAGCCCCTGTCCAGCAACTGTGCACTGACACACAGCATCTGCACCACCTTGTGGAGAAGTGGGCTGAGCAGCCGTGTGGATCTTAGGAGACACAGCACAGCACAACACAGCGGCAAGGGGACCTACCGGTAGCTAAGTGTCGGGCCACGGATGTACTTCTGCTCGGCTGTCTTGTAATCCACTGACTCCACTGCAGAGATGGCACAGATGATTGCCTGGGAAAGAATGGAGAGGGTCAGTATGCAGAGAGTTAGCCTGGCATGCATGAGGCCCTGGGTTCCATTCCTAACGTCATATAAACCAGGTGTGATACACACCTGTCACTCCAGCCTCTAGAGATACAGAGGCAGGAAGATCATCAATGTTACCCCTCAGCTACATGGCAAATTCAAGGGAAGCCTAGGCTCCATGGGACCTTGTCTGGATGTATAACAGTTCTGAAAATCAAGAAACTACCTTTAATTTTTTTAAGGTAGTCACATTATGGTTTTGGCAAATATATCTGTTGTTTGAAATTGTCTCTGGTGGGCATAGTGGCACAAGTTTAATCCCAGCACTCAGGAGGCAGAGGCAGGTGGATCTCTGTAAATTCAAGGTTAGCCTGGTCTATAGAGTGAGTTCCAGGATAGCAGGGCATAGAGAAACCCTGTCTCAAAAAACAAAAACACAGGGAGGAAAAAAAAAGAAAGAGAAAAAAAGAAATGGTCTCACTGCAGCTTAGATTGGCCTGGAAGTCAGAATCCTCCTGCCTCAGCAGCTGTGTGCTGGGATGCTTGCCCGAACCATACCTTGGTGACAGGGTCTTTACTTTTTTTTATTTTTTATTTTTTGTTTTTTTGAGACAGGGTCTTATATCTTATGAGGTTGTGTCCCTTCAGTTTGGATAGGGAGTGAAGCTGTCCTCTGCAGGGCCCTCCAGGCCTATGGCACACAGGCTTAGCAGTGTCTGCGACACCTCCTCCATCAGGGGCTCCCTGTTCAGGACCATCATACCGTTCAACCCCAGGCACTGCTAAGCCCTAAGACAGCCAAAACCACCTAGTTTTAAGTTACACACTTAAGTAGTTCTGGGTGACTCCAGGGGCCAGGTGTGGCGGTCTGACCCATCACCCAAGTACTTAGGAGGCTGAGGTAGAAGGACCTCTAGTTTGAGGCCAGCCTAAGTTACAAAGCTAACACACAAAAGCTGGGCGTTGGTGGTGAACACCATTAATCCTAGCACTCGGAAAGCAGAGGAAGGTGGATCTCTGTGAGTTCGAGGCCAGCCTGATCTACAGAGCTTGTTCCAGGACAGGCTCCAAAGCAATACCAAGCAAAACCCTGTCCCGAAAAACCAAAATTAAAAAAAAAACCAAAAACACAAAGCTAGCACACAGCCCCACCCACAGCAATAAAGCAACTGGGGTGTGAACATCAAAGTCTGTCCAGAGAGCACAGCTGGCGCCTTCTTTAACTGACTTGCACTTGCTCCTCCTAGAACCCTCAGCCTGGGTCCTGGGGTACTCACCTCGGGCAGCAGCACGTCCAGGATGAAGCGAATGCGGTCTCCGCTGCCGTGTGCGGGCACCTCACCATCCATGTCTCGGCAGATGCCCTGCAGGTACTCCACCACTTCATCCAGCTGTGCCTCATCCTCCAGGTACGTCTCCACACATGTCACGTACTGGCCAGAGCTCAGGAATGTCTTCAGCCAGCGTGAGGGCTTGCGGCTATGCAGGATAGCCCGCAGGTGGCTCTCTGCACCCTTGGCCTTCACAATGTACTCCACTAGCTTCTGGTTGGCTCTGTCCCGTGCGGCCCTGGAGCGGTCTGGCAGCACCTTCCTAAATGGCCGCCACTGTCCTGGCTGGCTATCCCCCACAGGCTCCTCTGGGTCCCCTTTGCCCAGCTGAGGAAACCTGGTCCCCAGAACATCCTGTTGGATGGACTTGCGCACAGGGTAGCCTGCAAGGGGAAGACACACGGGGAGCTTGTGTCCCTTCACCTCCCCACTCTCTTCAGAGCTCTTGTGCCCATGAGGAGAATCCTTGTTCTGGGACCATCAGGTGTGCCAGCTAAATGCCCCAGTGTGAAGGCAGTACTCCTCAGATCTGACACACAGCTGCCCACCTGACAGGGATGCAGGACAGAGGGGGGCAGCTGAGATCACAGAGCTCTGCCCAGAATGGGACTGGGACCTCATGCATGCAACAAGGACAGCAGGAGGCTCAGGATAATGGTCTCTCAAGGACCAAAGGCAGACCCGTGTTGAAGAACACTTATACGTACTGATATCAGCAGCGTAATATTCCAAGAAAGATCCAGCGAAGGAGCCGCAGCCTGTGGAGGGCACGAGAAAGGGCCGTTCTCAGACCTGTGCCCTGCCAGGTCCTGTGGCTCAGGACTCCTGGACAGGAGCTTTCTGGTTTGTGCTTGACCCTGAGGCAGGTCTGTGGAGTGCAAGTCTGTCCACTGCCCCAGGAAGGAGCTGCCAGGGGTTCAGGTGACAGCCAGTCACCACAGAGACAGTGCTGTGCAGAGGAGCTGGGCCTTCAGTCAGGAGGGCTGCACCTGCTCCTACCTTCCACAGAAACAGTATCGTCACAGGTCAGCCAGGCCAAGACAGGATGTAGGACAGGGACCACATCCACCTCAGCCCCTCCATCCTGCCCTCAAGAGGTGCCAGTGGTGTGGTACACGGCCCCAGCCCCACACACGCCCTGGGGTACAGCCCACATACCCAGCCGCACACGGTAGTCGGTGATAAGTGAGACACACCAGCCGATGGCCTGGGCGAAGTCCTCCTTGGCTCTTTCCTACAAGATCAACAACAGGGCACAAGGGGCTGTGGCAGCGCTAAAGGCTCTGAGCCTTAGTTTCCTAGGCTTTAGACAGAGGGAGGTGCTGTGTGGGCTGGCCATCTCAGTGATACCACACTGAGATAAGCCCCTTCAGGTGAAGCAGCCAGCAAATCACCGGACTGACAATTGACATTTACATTACTTTTTAGACAGTCTCATGTAGTTTGGGCCATGTCTATAACCAAGGCCAGCCTTTGGACTGTTAACCCTACTGTCTCAGCTTCTAGCTAGCACCTCATACTTGACCTGTGGGTATGGGCCACCCCCAACTCCCCCAGGCACCTTGGGGATGCTGTATCCCACACCCAGATTTGTGTTCATGCTCACACGTGTGGAGGCTACAGTGGGTGCTGGGTACCGTCATCAGCTGATCTACATCTCTGTTGAGATAGTCTCCCTGAACCAGGAGCTTGACTGACTTGGCTAGAATGGCTGGTCAGCGAGCCCTATGTATCCTCCTGTCTCCATTTTCCAGGGCTGGGGAAACAGCCATGTACCGCTATGCCTTCCCCTTTCAGTGGGTTCTGGGAACCACGCTCAGATCCTCATACTGGTACACTTTACCGACTGAATGTTAGTGATGAGACAGACACATGCCGGGTCTGTGTCTACATCAAGCAGAGCTCATCATTGCCTCAGTGCCCACACTGCCTACTGTTTCCCAAAGTTGCTACGCAGAAGGCCTGACTATAATGGCCATGCTCAAGAGCAGTGACGCCCAACTGCTCAATACAGACCATTACCCCCCACAGCCTGGTACTTTGGTCTTCGTAGTAAATAGAACAAAATAAGTGTTCCTGGCCAGGCAGATAAAGCTCATTCAGGAAGGCAAGTTCAAATCCCCAGAACAACATAAAATCAGATGCGGCAGTATATTCCTAGGGTGAGACAGGATGTGGAGACAGGAGAATCCAAAGAGCTGGAGAGCCAGTGAGCCTGAGATACACAGCACAGTGGAAACAAAAAGGGTCAAGGACCAACACCAGAGGCTGTCCTCTGACATTCATAGGGGTGACTTGGCACACACACTCACAAACAAAACAAAGGTGACAATACCAACACGACTGCACATGTGCATATGTGTGCACATATACACACCCCACAAGCCACAACCTACCAGCAGTGTGTGCTTTTCCTTACAGTCAAAGTGCTTGAGCCTTCGAAGAGACACGGTGATTCTTGACAGAACAGAAGCCAAGGTCAGCACAGGTAGCTTCCTCCCAGGGGAGGTACCCCTCCTCTGACACTTAACCCCACTCTGGGCTGCAGCCCCTCCGTGCCACTGGGGACCCAGGTTCCTACCCAACCAGCCACCCTCGGGTACACACAAGTGTCCAGGGTCACCATCTGTAAGGTGCCTGAGGGACCTCATGTGTGCTGCTGACCTGACAGAGGACCCTGAGCCAAACTGGTCAGAGCCAGTTCAATCAACGAAGCTCTGCTTCGGTGCAGCATGATGTGGGGACCGGGATAGAGGCTCTAGCCGTCTGGCTGAGGCACCAAATGGTGCTGTGGACGCTGGACTGTGTCAGCAGCTCCAGTCACGGCCACCACAGAGGTCTCCATCCCTGTTCAGACCCTAACCATTAGAATACTAACCCTCTGCCCTTGGGGTTCATGTTGCCCTCAATGAAGAGAACGCTGGCTTTCTTGTCTCTCCTCCGAACGCTCTTCACCTGTGGGCAAATTGGGACAACAAAGCAATGACAAGGGCCCTATCCCCCTCCTCTCAGGCCTTCTCCAGGACTTGGGCTGGCTAGCTAGCCTAGTGCTGGGACGTGACCTGCTTCAGGCCCCCATTGTGTCCTAGGGTGGGGCATGAATGTACCTAGGGCTACCCTTGGCAAAGCAAGCCCACTGGCCACATGACAGGCCTTCAGTGGGGCTGAGATACCCTTTTGTTTTTTATTATTATTATTTTGCTTTGTAGACAGTTCTCATGTAGCCCAGGCTAGCCTCCAACATTCTCTTGTAGTTTGGAACCGTGCTTCTGCCTTAGCCTCCTGTGTGCAGGGATTAACAGGCGTGTGTCAACAGGGGTGGCACATCCATGTCCATGTAAGGGGTCAGGATGGAGGGGACTTGAAGAATCCATTCCTAAACTCGGCAGAGCACATGCTCACATAGGCTTCCTGACGGTGGCTTGGCATGTTAAATGGCATTCACCAAATAACCAGGCTTGTCGTGCCTGATCCTTCCAGTGTTAACAGAGCCTCCAAACATGTCTGAGCAGGGGGAACAGGAGCTGAGATGAAGGACCTGCTGCCCACAGCAGGTGGCAGCTACACTTACCACGGCTGGCCAGAATGGGTATTTTTGGTATTTAAGCCAGACCAGCATTCCTACTTCAAATGATCGTGGTTCTAGGATTAAAAGGAAGGAAAAGAAAGGCTGAGTCAAATCCACCTCAAGTACAGTTTAGACAGAAAAAAAGAAAACCCACGTTCATCACAGCATTATTTAAACCCAACTCCAACCTCATCTACCAGGAAACCCTGACCTTGGGGGCAGACACAGGATTCACAGAATGGGAGTCTCAGTGCCCATGATGGGCCATGAGGTCATGACTGTGTATGTCCTGTGGCAAGGGACGACGTCAGCAGTAGGATGGATGAGTTCCATCCCAAAACCCCCATCTCTAAGTCTAACACCCTTCCAAAAGCAGACATTTAGATAATTGTATCCATGCCAGGTGTGGTTCATGACACACCTGTACATTTTGGTCCACACCAAAATGTACATTATATAATCACATGGCTCACAGAATAAACTGTCCTCCCAGGACTACCAAGTTCAAGGAAATCTGAGAAACAGAGGTCACAAAATGCAGAAAACACAATATTCTCAGAGGAGGAAAAGTCACTCTTTACTGTGGTTTGAGACAGGGGTCTCTGTAGACCAGGCTGGCCTAGAACTAGAAATCTACCTGTCTTGGCCTCCCAAGTACTGGGATGACAGGCGTGCAACCTCACCTGGTTTATGGGGTACTGAAGATAGAGCTGAAATCAGGGCTTTATCAGTGCCAGACAAGCACTCTACCACGGAGCCACAGCCCTGGCTTTCCTTCCTTCCTTTCTATCTATCTATCTAGCTATCTATCTAGTCTAGATATCTATTTATTTGGGTTTTTTAAGACAGGGTTTCTCTGTGTAACAGCCCTGGCTGTCCTGCAACTCGCTCTGTAGACCAGGTTGACCTTGAACTCAAGAGATCTGCCTGCCTCTGCCTTCTAAGTGCTGGGATTAAAGGCATATGCCACCACCACCCGGTTTTGTTTTTTATTTTTAAGGCAGGATTTATTATGTAGCCCAAGCTGGCCTTCAACTTGCAGGGATCCCTCTGTCTGCACCTGGCTTTCTGCATAAGCTTAACATTTTCTATTCACCAAGAATCCAAGAATGAGGGACTGGTATAGACTGTTAAAGCTTTAGCATCAGGAAAACTAGCAGGAAGTGGAGCGAACACCGCCATGTCTCCCTCTAAAGGCTTCTTGGGCTGGCAGACACTTGGGGAGGGGGACATGGCTCTGAGAAAGGTGACAACCTATTCAGAAGCACCAAGCACCTCGGAGAGTCTGGCTGGGAACTGACAATTGTCACGAGCTTGGTCTGGTGGGTTAGGGAAGCCGTCAGCTCAAGCTTGTCATGGAAGGACACCAGATGCCAAAGATCCTAACGTCTGGAAGCTGAGGTCAGACCTGTGTTTGCCTCTGCAGTCGGTATGGTCTGATCTTTGGAACTGACCTAAATGATGAGGACCTGCAAGGTGCAGCTCATACCAGCACCTAGATCTTCCTAATATACTAGGTACTCAGCAGGATCTTAGCCCTGTGTACTCAGCTCTGGGACTCATGCACACTAAGAAGGAATGGAAGGTGAGTTGGGGATAGAATCTGGCTGGCCCTCACTAAGAATACTGATGCTCTGCAGGTGTCACCTGCCCAGGAAGCTGCTGACAGCTTCAGCCTACCCTGTATCATCTGGGCCACATTGTCTTGCCTGGCTCAGAAGAGGCCCTGGGTTCTTCGGTGGCTGAGCTGTGCCTGTGCACTCAGCAGCCCTGACTCACACGTCATTCTTGGTTATACACCCCATCCATGGAGTACTTTTAGGGAGGACCCACACTTCTAGGATGAACACGGGTCCCTGTACCATTGGCAAAGATAGCTCTGCCCAAGTGAGGGCAAAAGAGCCTACGTCTTTATCCAGTGTGCCCAGAAAAGGGCAGGACCAATGCTGACTTCCATGCATGGCTGCTACCTCTCCTAAGTCCTCTGCCTCCTCTCAAAGCACCATTAGAGAGGGGACAAGGTGACAGGTCTCGAGCCAGCGCATAAAAACTGAAACAGTGCCAGGTATGAAGGTGCAAGCCTTTCAACCCAGCACTCTCACAGCAGAGGCAGGGAGATCTCATTGAATCAGAGGCCAGCCCGGTCTACATAGCAAGTTCCAGGCCAGTTAGAAGTACACAGTGAGACCCTGTCTAAACACAAAAACACCACCAGCACCAAACAATGAGATGGCTTTATGGAGGGCTGTGCAGGGACCCTCACCCCCTGCTCTCAAGTGGAGCATCCCCTCACCGTGATACAGAAGGATCTGGGGTGGCTCCTCCTCCTCTTCCTCCTCCTCTAGCAGGGAGTGGATAGACTTGAACCCTGTGGACTCTTCTGAGGACACAGGATCTGCTGAAACAGAAGGACACCACTAGATTGCCACCCCTCACCCTGTAAAGGGCTAGCGACAAAGAGCCATCTACGACAAAGGACAGAGCCTGCATAGAATTCAACAAGGGAACACCCTGTGGTCAGACCTGTGTTTGCCTTTCTTTAAAATCCTACATGTACTTGTGTGTGCATGCATGTTGTGTGTGTGTGTATATATGCTTGTATGTAGTTTATGTGTGTACGTGCCTGTGTGTGCATACATGTGTGAGCATGTTGTGTGTGCTTCTATGCATGTGTGTGTCTGAGTATGTTGTGTGTGTGACCATGTTCTACGTTTGTGTCTGTGCATGCTTGTGTGCAGTTTGTGTGTGCATGTATGTGTGTGCATGCACATGTGTGCACTTGAGTACACACATGAAGATCAGGACTCCTTTGTGGAGTTAGTTCTCTCCTTCCACCCTGTGGGCTCCTGGGATCACACTTAGGTCACTAGGGACTGCAGAGATGGCTCAGGAGTTAAGAGCCCTAGCCATTCTTCTAGAGGTCCTGAGTTCAATTTCCAGCAACCACATGGTGGCTCACAACCATCTGTAATAGGATCTGATGTCCTCTTCTGGCCTGCAGGTTTATATGCAGAGCACTCATACATAAAATATAAAATTAATTAAGAAACAAAAAACAGACACTAAGTTTGGTGGTGAGTGTCTTCCTAGGCTAAGCCATTTCACTGGCTCTCCTTTTTTGTTTAAATTCTGGTGCTAGGGATGAACAAAGGGTCTCTCACTTGTCAGGCAAGTGCTCTAGCTCTGAGCTGCAGCCTTTTAAGATGTACTTCATCTTAAAATAAACAGGAGAGCAGCACTCAGGCCACCAAGTGCAGCACTCAATGACAGAAAGTGTGAACTCCAGGTGCATGTGGATGCACAGAGACTGCATCCCCAGAACAAAAAGGTAACTGCAAACAAGACCAGAGACAGTCCCCAAGATGGTGGAGAGGATCAGCTACTCCTGAAGCCCGTGCCAGGCATAGGATGGCCTTGTGAAGGCTCCTACTGTGTCTCTCATCCCCTAGACTACACACCTGATTCCTGAATGTCCCTGCCAGAGCTCAGTGGGTCAAGACAGATTTGGACAGGACCAGCCCCTGGCTGCAGCCATTCACGGGTTTCAGAATGACCTAATGCCCTGAGCACCCCCCTCACTAGCTGGGAGTGTGCTTTCAACCCTAACTGCTCCCCCAGCTCTTCCTGGGCTCTACTCTAGTCAAACATGAAGACACCTATCTGCAAGAAGAGCTCAGAGTACACCTGAGAACCCCACAGCAGGTGTCCCCGCCCGCCCATGGTTACCTTCCTCCGCTTTGTCACTATCACCAGCACTCCGCAGCATCGTGGCCTCCCCACACCAGCTCCTAGGGGAGGACACCGCCCCCACAGTTCCAGTCCCCAGCTGCCTGGCCGGTGGGTTCTGGCCTCCATCCAAGCGTGGCCTCTTTGTGGGTTGTCCTCTGCCTCTCTCAGAGGCCGGGAGCAGCCTGCTGCTGCCTGATGGTGTAACCTGGCCACAGCCTATCCCCCCGGCACAGGGGTCCTCTTCCCAGGTTTGGGAGAGCAGCCTAGGCAAAGCTGGGGTCACACAGCTGCTTGCCTGTCCCTCATTCTCTGCAACACTCTCTCCCTTGGAAAGGCGAGACTCTGTTTTGTGGCGTCGGGTAGGTTTTTCTCCCAAATTCTTCCGCCTCTTATTGGTTGTGTCCTCCTGTCCATGGTCCAGTCGTGACCCAGAACTGTCCTGAGAACCCTCTCCAGTGGGGGAAGGCAATGCTGCTCTTGGGGTTCCATTCTTTGAGAGGCCTGTCTTACGGTTGCACCTGGTGTCCTCTTCAGATGCAGACAACTCTGACAGGCTTTGTGAGACATACTCCCACCTCCTCTTGGACATATGCTGAGCAGCCACATCTTCACCATCTTCACCACGGAAAGATGGAGAGGGAGCACTGGGGAGCCATGAGGCCATATCTGCGTGTGGTTTCTCTTTTTGGGACAGTGTGGTCTCGTCTTCCATCAGATGGCTTTCAGGACTCAAACTAGTCCTCTCATTCAAGAGATCCAGGGCTACTCGCAGGGAGCGTCGATAGGTCAGCTCCTCCAGGGGAGTAGCCGGGACCTCATTCTGAGAGGCTATGGAAACAAAGATACACACAATGAGAGCTCCTCCACTCAAGTGCCTAGGGCTTAGCATCCCAGCAGTATAGCAGCAGACTCAATGACCACACCAAGTGCCTGGCGCCCGTCTCTACCAAACAACAGGCAGGCCTGGCACTGCTCTGCTATGTATCTCCCACAAAAAGAGGACAAAGCCAAGACATGGCTATACATTCACTATAAACTATGACTAAAGAACAGCACACACCCAGAATGACCTCAGCCTGACTAGCTGACTGCAAAATCCCTCCAAGTTCCAAAACAATGCTGTGTACAAACATACCTAAATATCTTGCACTGTTTATTTGAATGGAGTATCAGGGACAGCTTCATTCTCACTGGGCACACTGCCTCCATCTACCAGACCCACATCTGGCACCTGATTAATAAATACTAAAAGGTCCTTACCATCAAGCAGCCCTCAATACTCTGAGCCAGCACTGAGGATGCCCTTGCTCTCTCAGCAAGGTGGCCAGCATCCTGGATAGCTGTTGGCTCCAGGAGATGAAGCCCTTGTTCCGGCTCCCCTGGCCTGTCCCTGCTGGTGTGACTCACTCATACTCTCAATCTGGGAACAAGGAGCCTCTGACACTGGCTCTGCTGGGTGTGATTCCCAGTATGTAGGACCCTTGCAGTGTGTGCCAGCACCAGGTCTGGAGTGGGTGCAAAAGAAGTCTAGATCAACCACAAGAGGAAGAGATGGAGGGTGCTGAACTGAGGCCCTATACACACAAAAGAAGCAGAGTCCTACCCAACACGCAGCCAGACTCATCCTACCAACAGTAAGTGCAGGTGACATGGAGTAGCAGCTAAAAAGCTGACCATTCTGTCCTTGCTCCCCTGGGTTTTTTAATTGGCTGTATGTATGTATGTGTATGTATGTATGTATGTATGTATGTATATATATATATGTATATATATGTATGTATATGTATATGTATGTCTATCTGTATCTATGTTACGTATGTATGTTATATATGCACATGTCTGTTTACATGTTATATAAGCATGTATGTGTCTCTATTATGTATGCACATGTGCCTGTCTTATGTTTTATGTATTCATGTCTATATGTTATGTATGCATGTGTGTTTCTGTCTCTATGTCTATCTGTATGTTGTGTATGCATGCAGTGGTTCCAAAGACTAAATACAAGACTTCATGTAAGCAGGACTCTTATCATGGAGCTACAAGCCCCAGCCCGGTATTTACTACTGGAAAGGTTGAGCCTGCAGAATGGCTTGCCTGGGACCTGCAATCCCACCAACTCCACCTTCCCAGTCCTTCTGACTCCAAGCTTCAAGGCCTTCCCAGCCCCATATCATGGCCTTTGGGGCTCAGGGGATGGTGGGCTCTCTGCTGCTGTGGGAGCAGACATTCTCTCCTGCCCTCCTTGCCCATCACATGGCTCTAAGGTGGTTCTTGCCATCTGGCAGACCTGGTTTTGGCTGAGGTCTGAGAAGCAGTTGGTGTGCGGGGGACTACAGCTGGAACCCGCCTGGGGGTCAATACCTGTGGTCCCAGCCCCAGAAAGGCCTCGGCATGAGGACTGCCACCACTTCCAGGCCTGCCTCAGCTGCAGTATGACACTATCTCAAAAGCTAAGAAACAAAGGAAAACATAGAAGCAGAGAATACAGCTCTGTAAGCAAGTAGAGCTAGCTGGCTCTGGTGGGGGCTAAAAAAAGCAGGTGTCAAATTGGGAATACGTGTACTACGCACAAGGCCCTGGGTTCTGTTCCCCAGCACACATGAACACATCATCAAAGCACTGGGGACTCGGAGCCTGGGAATCAGGAGTTCAAGATCAGCCTCTGCTATACCACCCTGTCTCAAAGCCCAAGACAACCCTTGGCTACATGACACCCTGTCTCAAAACGGGAAAGAAAAAAAAAAGCAAGCAAGTCCATGTTTTCTTTTCTTTTGTGAGGTTCCCCGTAATGAAGAAATGTGGAGAAAATGGGCCTGCTGATGTGCACAGCACCTTGGTGGCCGCCGTGCTGCAGCCCTTACCCAGGAAGGCAGCAATGTTCTCAATGTGTGACTTCTGCAGCACCTCCACGGCTGAGCTCTTCACCTGAATCCTGCGGCGACAAAGAGCCAGTTAGTGCCACCAGCCTACAAACCCTACTGTCCAGATGTCCCTCTCAACCTTTCATTCCCAGGGAAAGTCACACTGAAGGGACAGGCAGGGACACACGGCTTGAGGTGACAGGCAGCCAACCAGGGCGGATGTGGCTTTTTTCCTCTTTTTTCCCCCATTTTTAAGAAAGGAAAGGTCGGCTGGAGTTAAGAGTAAAAATAAATTCAAATTGGGACTTTCATGAGGCAAATCCGACTTTCAACTGCACAAATAACTCCTTTGTTAGGCTTTCTGAGTAGCCGCTAATGTCACTGAGAGCTGTTTACAGCCCAGCAGGCGCATTTTAGTTTAAAAGGACGCACTTTCCTTTTAAACTCAAGTATTCAATTACCTTCCCTGCCGCAGGGAATGAGAGAGCTGGGGACTGAGTGGTGGCAGGCTCTGAAGATGGTGATAGGAAGAACTGGGCTGCTGGGCCCAGGAGACAGTCGGCCAGTGGACTCTTCACAAGTGAGGACTGTGTCTGTCGGGGACAGTATGCAGGCCCACACCAACATCGTCCTTGCAGATGACCCATGAAGGGTCACCAGATACAGGACAATGGAATCCTGCCGCCCATCTGCCTTTCCGGTACAGAAACATGTTTTTCCTTTAGTGGTGTGGTGGGCATGGCACAGCCGGGGCAGTAATAAAATACGCTGGTTCTTGGTGAGAGGGGAGACCCCAGTGTGGCTCCCTGGGGATAATTTCTATTTATTCACCCTTGAGACCTCTCTCCCTGCAGATCCCTATGCCTCATATAAGGCACCAACTTGAAATTGGTGTCAAATAAAACTCATTGTGCCCTCCATGAAGCAGGCTTCTCTCCCTTTTTTGAGAATCACTTTAGAAACCTCAGTCAGAAGGGGAAAGATAGTATTAAAAAAGAAAAAGAAAAACCACACTTAACTTTTCCGTTAGCGAGAGTATTTGGACATCTAGAAATAATTCTTTTTTTCTCTTGTTTTTCACTGAAGTCTCAGTTATGGCCAAAACCTATGTGTAAAAAAATAAAGAATTCTTGTTACGGCGCTGTGAAGAAAATGACATGTAGCAAGCCCTTCCCAAGGTGATGGCCACAGGATTTAACAGATCCCTAAGAGAAACTGAGGCACATGAGACCATGGCCATCCCAGGTCAGGGCATGGACTTAGCACTTCCTGCTAAATTGCTAGAAAGCACCCCTGAAACACCAGTTGCTCCCCATCTGGAGACTCCTAGCTAGATACTTCCCCATAATCCGAAGACTTCCACACCTTTTTATAGCTGACTCTGGTTATTTTTATGTTTTTTTTTTCTTTTCCTTAGTGTGAAAAATAGTTAATGACAATTCCAGATATAAAGGCTCCTAAGTGCCAGACCAAAACCCGGTGGAGTGAAGGGAATCTCGGGACAACATGCCAGCAGATCTGGGCACCAAGCATTCAGGCTCAACTCTTGTTCCAGAGTCACTCCAAGGAAGCGGAGACTGATAAAGACTTTATTGTCACCAAAAGTCATTTCTAACTCCACAAATTAAGAGAATAAGAGCTGTCACCTTTGCAGGCCACAATCGTTTCTCCCATCGGCAGAGGACATACTTGGCATCCGTCATGACTCGGAGCTGGGCAAAAGAGAGAAGCTATGCTCACGGTGCTACAGGGCCTGATGCCAGAGCTGCCCTGCAGAAAAATAAGTGTAAAAAATATGTGTGATGGTTTAGAAAGGCATTTGCTTGCATTCGGTGACATTCACACAGACAGGAGCTTCAAGGGCAGAAGGTGGTCTCACACACAGCTTCCAGGAGACATGTCAGTTTAGAACCCAGCCATGAGACAGTCGAGTGCAGGGCCCTGGAACCTGAGGAAGTGGCTGCAATAGCCGGCCCCCTCCTTCTCAGCAGCACCCAGGGCACCCAGAACAGCAGCAGGCATTCCAGTCAAAGCTCACAACCCTCTAAACCTTAGGCCTGAAGGGTGACTGCAGCACACACAGGACACACACACAGCTGTCCTGTTCCCTGGAAGGACAGGGACAGATGCAAGCGTTCATGATATGACACCCCTGGCAGAGGCAGCCTGGCTGTGGACAGAAATGGAAAGGTGGGGGAGGGGGGAACCAAAGCAGCAGGAAGGACACCAGGGACAGGAAGAGACCCACCAGCAGAAACAAGGGTTCATGTCTAGAAGGACTGACAGAAGCAGGAGAGGGTTTCCAGAGGGGGTACAGGCAGCAGAGTTGGGGACCTGACAGCAAATACAGAAGTCCCAACAAGGATGGGATTCAGGAGGCACATAAGGACTTCTAAGCAGGTATGGGAAGGGAAATCAGGTAACAAAAGATGGGGCTCAGCTAGCAGAGGGTTTGGGAAGCAAAGGAGGTTCAGGGAGAAGAGTCAGGCAGGAGATGGGGCTTGCAGCAGGAACCAGGTTCACAGAATGAGAGCGGCACAGGAATAAAAGATGGGGTTCATATAGGGGACTGAGATTTAGGCTGTAAAAATTGGAGTTCAACAGGAAATACAAGGTTTGTAGCAATGATGAAAGGTCAAGGTATGGTGACAGGGAGCAAAGGAGGCAAACACTGGAACTCAGACATGGATCTCTATTCACAACAGGGATAGGGTTTAAATAGGATATTTTGGGTTCAGACTGTAGAGAGGGGTGCAAAAGGAAGAAATAGGGGTTCAGGACGCACAGTGGGATCCACGATGTAAACTCAGAGTTCTCTGCTGAGAACACAGGTTCAGGCTGTAGAAATAGAGTACCAAGCAAGAAATTGGCGGTTCAGGTTACAGAGAGGTGGGTCGAGTAAGAAATGTTGGGTTCACAATGCAGAACTAGGTTAATACGGGGGCTTCCAGCAGGAAATTCGGGATCTCAGCAAGGACACAGGTCCAGGCTGCAAAGAGGGGGAGATTAGGCAGAAAATCAGGGATTCAGGCTGCAGAACATGAATATTAGGCCGTTAACACAGGGTTCAGGCTGCAGAAGATAGGATCAGGCCGGAAGTACGGGGCTCTCAGAGGGACGGGGGCTCAGACTACAGAGAGGGGGACTCAAGCAAGAAATACAGGGTTCACAGAAAAAAACTGGAGGTTCTCAGCACCCAAGGGGCTCGGCCGCACATGGGCTAAACGCAGAACCGGACGCGGCCCAGCGGGTCCGGCCCAGCCGCCGCCCTTCCCCAGGCTCTCCGCCTGCTCCCCGCCCGGCCCTCCCAAGGCCGCAGCGGGCTCACCCACCCCCAGCCCGCCCGATGCGGCGTCCGAGCCTGAGCGACCAGGCCGCGGCGGTCCCAACGGCGGAAGCCCGCCCGCCAACCGCCGCTGCAAGCTCGCGCGCTCACCGCCTTCACCGCCGCGCAGATCCCCGCGGGCCAGGGGCGGGGCCAGCCTCACAGCAGCACCAGGCCCTGCCCACACCCCCGCCCAATTGGAGGTGCGTACCTGCGTCTAGGCCCCGCCCCCCAGAGCGCGGCCTCTGACGGGCTACGCCCCAAGCCCACCGGTCACGCCCCCAACCGCCTTCCCTCCTGCCCATCTACTTGAGGTGTGCAGAGAAGGCCAGAGGCAGGGTAGACCTCGCTGCCCGCGCCAAGTCTCCCGTTGCTGCCCAATGTGAGGCTCGAATTTACGTCTTGGCCCCTCCCTTAGACGATGGAGGCCTCGCCAGGTCACACCCCGGGTTACAGACCACGCCCCTAACTTTCCCACAACCTGCGGAGGTAGAGCAGGCAGGCCCCTTTTCCACTCAGGTTCCTGCCACTGTCTTTACACGGAAGAGGGGATTCGGGGTTGGAAAGATGAAGGCCTCACCGAGGTTTGCACATGGCCCCCTGACAGAACCCTCTAGTACCTTCCAGCTTCTGGAGTAATACGATTCCCACCCTTGTGGAAAAAGCCATCAAGTGAGGAAGGACATGTCCCTGTGTGGGAACAGCATGTCCTCCTGCCAAGCTGGTGACTGGGGGGAGAGGCTGCACCCAGGACCTCCATGGACTTTTCTGGAGCTCAAAGTTTACAGTTTAGCTGCCCACAATGAGGCTGTGACAGGAGAAACTGATACTGCAAGCAGTAGTTGGCATAATAAATTATATATATATATATATATATATATATATACATATATATACTAAATATACTATATACTATAGTATATACTTGCAACATACATAATATTTACATTAAGTTATATATATTTATAATAGATATTTGGGTTTGGAGGTTTTCTTCTTGGTTCTTTGAAACAGGGTTTCTCCCTGTAGCCCTGGCTGTCCTAGAACTCCTTCTGTAGAGCAAGCTGGCCTTTTGAACTCAGATTGCTGTGATTAAAGTCATGCACCACCACCACCCCACCCCACCTTCACCTTAACTACATCCTGTCTCCTCAAGGCTGCTTCCCTGTGTCGGGTCCAATCTCTCAAGATAGTCTCCCTTTCCAGGATCAGGATCCTGGGGGAGACTCTCCAGCCACAGGGTAGGTCATGGTGGCATTTCTCCAGTGTCTCCAGCAGCCTTGAAGATGTGTGGAGCAGAGCATTGCTCATGGCTTCTGCTTATAGACTATCCTAGTGGGCATCATGCATCTGCCTATCTTGAATGAGTAATATTGCTGGGCTCTGGTTTTCCGGACCAGCCTTGGGTGTAGTGGGGTTCCTGACTAAGCTGTTCTTACTTGTGTAAAACACGTTTTGTTTTGTTTTTACTATTCTCATCACAGAGATGATGAGCCAGTTCCATCCAGAGGGTGGCTCTGCACCCCAAGTTCCACTAGGTCTAGAATCACAGGCCCTAAAGCTCAGATTGTCACCAAGCATTACTGGTCTGTATAAGCTTGGAGATTGTTGAGTGGTGTGAGTGGGTGAGTGGTGGAAGTATGGGATGGGCAGGTCTCTCAGCAAAGGTGGTTGTATGGGTTCACAATTTGATAGCAAGACAGAAACAGTGAGAACCAGATATGGTAATACAAGAAATTAGTTAGCCCAGTCACCAGCTAACTTGCTAGCTAACCAACTATTAACCCATCCATCTAGTAACCTGTTCATGGTTTAACGAACTTGCTAGTTGATCCACTCATTATTAACCCATTCATCCATTAACCATTAACTTGGTCCCTAGTTAAGCCATTCATCTGTTAACCCATTCACCAGTTACTCTCGTCTTCAGTGAACAGAGCTGCTGGGGCTGGGCCCAGGGTAATCTACACCTTGACCTCAATTGCTAAGTTTCCTGTGTCTCTTCTTGTTGGGTGTTCTCTGAAGGCTCCTTGATACCAAGTGACCATCTTGCCCCTTGTGACCTGAATCTCCCACACCGCGGATGGTGCCTTGCACACATTTTAATTGGGCATCTGTAGAACTTGAGTAAGGGACACAGAGCAGTGCAGGTGGGCACTGTAACTCCATTAACATGGCCGGGGAGCAGTCACAGTTCCCAGTGAGATCCCTTTATGGCCAAATTAGGGTCTCAGATGTAGGGAGCTCTGAGCCACCTCAGTTCAGAAGCAGAATGTCCACAGCTGAAAACTGGCCAGATGAGCTCAATCTTAGACTGAGTTCATAGTTCACTGCTACCTTCTCATCCTGGGAAGATGTCTCAGTGGGCAGAATGCTATGTAAACATGAGTGTGGTGATATTTTGTTTATGATCTAACAAAGCTTGCCTGAAGATCAGAGTGCAAAGCTAACCACACTAGTTAGTCATAGAGGACAGGCAGTGGTGGCACCCAGCACTCAGAAAACAACAGAGGCAGACAAATCTCTGTGAGTTCAAGGCCATCCTGAGCTACATGAAATCCAGTCTAAAAGAGAAACAGAGCTCACACAAAGGTGATCCTAGCACTTGGAATGACAAACCTTTAATCCCAGCACTAAGGAGGTGGAGACAGAAGTGATATGGCTGGGCTGAGAGAGGAGTATAAGGCTGGAGAAGACAAAATAGGATGCAGTCTAAGGAGCAATGCAGTCTAAGCATGAGATTGACTTCTGACCTCCATGTGCATGGATGTATGTTTGTGCACACACGAGAGAGAGAGAGACCTGGAACGATAGAGCTATGGTTAACAGTGGATACTGCTCTTGCAGAAGACCCAAGTTTGGTTCCCAGCATGCACATCAGGCAGCCAACAGCCGCATATAACTCTAGCTCCAGGGATCTGATGCCCCCTGTTGACCTCCATGGGCAACTGCAGGCACATGGTGCACATACATGCACAGGCACACGTGCACATACACAGTCACATATGCGTGCATACACACACACAGAGTCATGTGCTCTGGAACACATACATGAACATGCAGACACACATACACAAAGCCAAGGTAGAAGAAACATCCCCTTAGCCACCTATGGAGTGTCAGAAGCTGGGGCCACATTGGTTCCTTCCTGCATTTTGGCTTTAGTCTGGCAGACACCTTCTCCAAATTTAGTTCCACAGAGTCAGAAATTCTGGAGAGTCACCGGGGGGATAAAATGATCAGTGGCCAAAGCTGGATGGGCAAGGACTGGTCACACAGTGCCATGTCCTGGAAAAGGGCTAACTCAATTAATTGCTGCAGCCAGGGCTCGGAGTAAGACATTCCCCTAGCATGTCTGTTGAGTTCAAGGTCATCCTTAGCTACTTAGTTAAGTTTGAGGCCAGCCTGGGCTGACTGAGACCCTGTCTCAAAACAAAACTTAATAATAATAAAATAAAATAAACCCTTAGTTGTCTTTGGTCAATAAGCCTTGGGGTGCTTGTTATCAACCTTGGCCAACCTAGCTGCAGAGCACAGATGGGCCCCTTCTTATTGGATGTAATCACTGGTCTGAAGTCTCTTGGTTCCCAGGCCTCTGGTCTGCTGCGGGTGCCCCTGAGTGTCACTCATTCCGCTACAATAGAAGATAGAGGAGGGAATTAATTTCACCAGCTGGCTTCAGAATTCATTTTCTGAGATGCAACCGGGCTTGTTTAGAAAAATGCCTTAATTAGTCCTGAGGGTGGTGAGGGAGGCCCAAAGGACACAAGATGAAAAGGACCCACAAAGACACAGCCAGCTTCCTCCACAAGAGAACACAGGGGCTTCGCCTGGCACAGAGCTAGCAAAGCTCTGACAGAGGCGGGAACTAGAGATCAAGAGCCAGGGACAGATGGGGTGTTGCACGACCTTCAGTGTCGAAGCCTTGGGCCCTGGGGCTGCAATGTGGGCATTGTGAGACTTTTTCTGAGCTGGACCTGTTCAGAAAGGAGACAAAGGCAGACAGGATTCAGTGCCCTGCCAGAGCCAGCCCAGTGTGACACCCACAGGTATGGCCTGTCTCCCACACAATGGTTATTCAAAAGTCCTGAGTTCCTGAGGCAGGGGCATCAAGCAAGTGATTAAAACAGGGGTTTGGGAGAGGTAGCAGGCCTCGTGGTTCCTGCTGTTGCTGCCTTCCACTCTTCAGTGCTTAGATGACAACCATTCCATTCCGCCGTGCCTGCAATGGCACGTACATGAATACTCTATCCACTGAGCCCAGGCTTGCCCTTTGTTCTGTTTGGGAGGGGTATATGTGTGTGTTCCGTTCATTTTTTGAGAAAAGATCTCATGTAACCCAGATTAATCTCAAATTGCTGATGTTCCTGCCTCAGCAATGCTGGGACCACAGCTATGCACCACCACCATGCATAGCTCTTGGTGTGAGTATGTGTGTGAGTGTGTGTGCATGCAGTTATGGGGAGGTTGCTGATTTTGAGACAAGGTCTCACTATATAGACCAGGCTGGACTCGAACTTACAGAAATCCACCTGCCTCTGCTGTCTCTGGCCTTCACGTTGCATTGACTACACTGGACCTGCAGTAATTGTCTTATTGGAAGAAATAAAAAATAATTGAGTACGGTGGTGCACACCTTTAATCCCAGCACTGAGGAGGCAGAGGCAGATGGATCTCCGAGGGAGGGAGGTCAGCCTGGTTACATAGTGAGTTCCAGGACAGCCAGGGCTACATGGAGAAACCCTGTTTCAAAAAAAGAAAG